CCTCGTGCAGTGGAGTTCATGGAGCTGGCCGCCTGGGTCGGGGATAAAATTATACCGCCCGGCCCAGAGTCTGTCAGTAAGTCCACAGTGGGGTCTGTGCCCAGACGTGGCGTATGGAGTGGAAGGGTCCAGGACACCCACCCAATTCAGCGCATGGTTCAGTGGGTTTTGGTTCGTTCGCCATGTCATGTGCTCTAATTCCGGAACATTTTCGTTCTCCAAAGCAGAAGCCCCATCACCCCCCATGCCCACCGTGGCATCCACGTAACCCCCTTCCTGGCTGTGGATGAGCCTGTTCTGGACATTGCGCACACGTGGAATCACACAAGTGGAATCACACACAAGTGGCCGTTTGTGTCTGGTTCCCTCCCCGAGCGCCGTGTGTTCAGGGTCCGTCCGCGTTCGTATTTTATGGGCTGAGTAATATTCCATTGTTTGGAAGGACCACATTTTGTTTATCCAGTCATCATTGATGGCTGTCTGGGATGTTCCCTTCTTTTGGGTTTTAGAACGCTCTACAAGTTTTTGTAGGGGCACATGTTTTCATTTCTCTTGGGTGATACCAAGGCATGGAATTTCTGGGTCACATGGGGACTCTGTGTTTTACCTTTGGAGGAACTGCTGGGTGTTTTCTTTTCTTTATGTTTATTTATTTTTGAGGGAGAGAGAGAGAGACAGAGCATGAGCCAGGGAGGGGCAGAGAGAGAGAGAGAGGGAGACACAGAATCCGAAGCAGGCTCCAGGCTCTGAGCCATCAGCACAGAGCCTGATGCGGGGCTCGAACCCACGAACCGTGAGATCATGACCCGAGTTGAAGTCAGACGCTCAACCGACGGAGCCCCCAGGCACCCCATCTCCCCCTCCCACTAGCCATGCACAAGGGTCCCCAGCTCCCCACGTCTTCGGCAACACTTGTTATTGTCCCTCTTCAAGTTACTGTCATTATTTCTGGAGCCATCGTGTCGGTGGTGAGATGATGTCTCGCTGTGTTGATTCCCAGAGCCTCATGATCTTAGAGGCTGTTCGGTCTCTGTGGCTGTGAAAGGGGCCCACTCGCAGCCCAGCTCTGTCGTGGTTTGGAACGTAGACCTGGGTGGGCAGAGTCCCCGTTCCAGCCCTCGCCAGCTGTGTGGCCCTGGGCACGTCCCGGCTGCCTTGTCTCCTGGACAAGAGTGACCTCGCAGGGCCGAGGGCAGAGGCAGTGCCTGATGCCTGGGCTCCCAGAAGGTCCTCCCTGAGCACAGCCTGGCCCAGCCTGGGGGACTCTGGACCCGCCAGACTGGACTCTGGTTGCTTAGCAATGGGAAGGTGATCCATTTCCATGGCGGCCAAGGGCTCGGATTCCTGTCTCGGGGTCAGTGGCCAGTGGGAAATACTCGGCTGGATCCTGTGCAACCAGGGCACGCCCCACCCTCCGGGCCTCCAGCCCAGAGTCGCTGCAAGGCCTTGAGGTGTGGACGCCCGTCCCCCGGATTTGGAAACCGAAAGTAGAAAGCGCTTTCCTTCTGGCCAGAAACCGGGAACTGGAGCCCTGACCCTCGACCCCAGAGGAGGCAAGTCCCTAGGGTGTGTACCCCCCCCCCCCCCCACACACACACACTGACGAAGGGCAGCTGTGTTTCCAGGAGTCTGCTGGGCTGGCGCCATGGTGTGGTGGGACCCCTCCCTGCCCTCGGGGACTGCTCCCTGACCTTGGGGACTCCAGCCCAGATCAGAGACACCAGTGTGGAGCTGGGGAGATCTGGAGAACGCCTTTAGGGAGATTGTATGCACGCATGTGTCTTCCCTTCAGACATGGTGGGGGGGGCGGGTACACATGAGGCTGGGGGTATCTAGAGGGGCCAGTCTTCTTCCTCAGCGAGCGACGAAGTCCAGGGTGGTCAGGAGAGGGAGTGACCAGACTAAACTTTAACTCAGGGTCAACCACAGGGACCCAAGGAAGGAAGTCGCGGTCCCCGAAACTCCTCATGGGAGGGAAACACACTTAGACCAGGAGTGTGACCACTTAGACCACTTAGACCGGTCGGGTCCAGCCCCGGCCGGCTGTGTGACCAAGGGCTGGCCAAGTCCATGGTCCGAAGCGGCGTGGGACCCAGTCGCCGGGCAACACTGCAGCAAGCAGACAGAGGCCCCGTCCGCTGGATTCCAGTCTTTCCTGGTCTCCAACAGGTGCTTCTGTGCCTGTACATTTTCGTCTGTGCGCCGGTTTGGGGGGGGGCACGGACGCCCACAGGGAGCTTTCGATGCCCGTTGGTTTTAAACGCGTGGTTCGGTTTCGCGTTCCTTTTTACCCTGGGGGGCGGCCCACAGCCCTGCCAGGCCTCCCCTCCTCCCAGAGAGAGCCAGCTTACTCTCCGTCTGTCTGTCTGTCTCTCCCACCCCTGCCAGTGGTCCACGCTGTGGACGGCACCGCGGAGAACGGAATCCAGCCGCTGAGCTCCTCCGAGGTAGACGAGCTCATCCACAAGGCCGACGAGGTCACGCTGAGCGAGGCGGGGTCCGCGGCGGGGGCGGCGGAGGCCCGGGGGGCGCCCAAGGAGGCGGCGCACAGCACCCCGTCCAGGCGGGAGATCACCGGCGTACAGGCCCAGCCAGGCGAGGCCACGTCGGGCCCGCCGGGCATCCAGCCCGGCCAGGAGCCCCCGGTCACCATGATCTTCATGGGCTACCAGAACGTGGAGGACGAGGCCGAGAGTCAGAAGGTGCTGGGGCTGCAGGGCACCATCACGGCCGAGCTGGTGGTCATCGAGGACGCCGCGGAGCTCAAGGAGCCCGCCCCGCCCAACGGCAGCGCGGCCGAGCCCCCCGCGGCCGCCGCCTCCCGGGAGGAGAACCAGGTGGGGCCCGAGGCCCCCGCCAGCGACCCCCAGGACCTGGACACGAAGAAGCAGCGTTGTAAATGCTGCTCTATCATGTGAGCCCCCCGGCCCCCGCCCCCGCCCCGCCCTCCACCCACAGTCACCCACCGCCCGGCCCGGCGCCTGCCCGCCCTCCACCCACAGTCACGGGCCCCGGACACGCGGCTGTCACATGGTCCCGCCGAGGGTTCTTTCAATGGAAAGAGAGGGACGGGGGTCCCCCACCCCATCGTCACCCCCGACACCCCTGAGCCACTGAGCCGTGCACCTGCGCCTGGTAGGAGAGCGACCCGGACGGCCCCACGTTTCCCGACGCGGCGGGCACCCTCCCCCCCCCCCCCCCCCCCCCACGACACGGCCGGGGTTTCGGTGCAGCCGCGGCCGGCGGCCAGCCGCCCTCTGGGCCTCCTGCCTGTGCCTTCCTGCCGCCTCCAATGAGGTCCCCGAGGGGACGTCCTGCCGGGTTAGGGCTCCTGGGGGCCCGCTCTGTCCCCGCTTAGCCCCTGGAAATGGGGTTTCCCGGCCGAAGCTGTGGCGTCCGTACCCAGGCCATTGGGGTGAGGCCATGCTTCTTTGGGGAGTCTGGGTCGGAGGTCAGGTTCAGGGTCCTGGAAGGAAGCCAGGCCCCGCTCTCTGGATACCCCCAGCCTGGTGTGCCCCTCCCCCCAGGCTCTCTCTGGGGTGGCCGGGGGTGAGGGGGGCGGCCTGCTGGAGCCTGGGAAGGGAGAGCCCCAGGGACACGCCCCCGTGGGGGATGGGTCCAGGACCCCTGCGCTGTCCCCCTGCCACGGGGCCCAGGGCCACGCGAGCCGCTTCTTGTCCTGAGCTCCCACTCCCGCTGGGCCCTTCTTCCTCCTGGTGCTAATTTGGGGACCCTGGGGGGCTGCCCGGGACCTGCTTGGACCAGGGTGCTGGGCCCCTCCAACCATACCCCAGAGATCAGGCCACTGCCACTCCAGCGGGCTTGGCACATTTCCGGCAGTGGTGGGAGCACGCAGCCTGGGGCGGGGGCGGGGGTGGGGAGGGCTTCCTCCGCAGGAGACCCCCATCTGCCGCCCTGCCCGATGCGAGCCTGTCCCCTTCCCGCCGGGAGGGGGGCGGGGACAGGGGTTGCGCTCCTGGGGGCAGCCGACACCTGGATGTGCACACACATCTCCCCGGTTGCAGCCACGCTCGCCCCAGAGGCGCGTTCGTGCACACGCTCGCAGACCCTCCCGTGTGGGCTGTGGTCGGTGAGGCCCCGTCTCAGCCCCTCCCCTAGGGGCCTCCCACCCGGTGCCCGGGGCGGGCGCAGGGGTCGCCTCTGGTCGCAGCCCGGACCCCGACTCAGCTCTGCCCCTTGGTGGCAGGGGGAGAGGCCCCCTGCGAGGTGACCCTGGGCAGTGGCCGTGGGACCCCCTCTTCCTCCTTGAGTCCTCGAGCTGTGAGCCTCCGCTGAAGTGCCCCTCTGCTTTTGATGTGTGACAAGGCCTTGTTGTTCTTGACTTTCCCAGAGAAGCAAATAAACAGTGTGAACAGCCCCAGGCTCTGGCGTCCTTGGCTTTCACTGGGGGGGGGAGGGTGTGGCCAGGTGGGCGTGGCCCCACCAGGGCGGCCGGGCCATAAAAGGAGGCCGGAAGGAGGGAGCAGGCTTCTGCACCGCAGCCCCGGACTCCCTTGGGCTCACCCCGGTGCCCAGTGCCCACCGCACCTGCACCCACGTGAGCGGCACCTGGGCAGGTAAGGCCTGGAGGTAAGGGGGTAGCTGGTGGTGGCAGGACTTGCTTCCTGCTAACTGTGGAGTCCTCTGGTTCTATGGCCCGTGCTGGGTTCACGGCCCCCAAGCTCTGCAGAGAAACCGTTCCCCGGGAGCCGGGCGGGGGGACGGTGGGACGCGTTTACAGAGGCTGCCACCCCGAACTTCTGTCTCACTAGGCGATCTTGGAAGTTGCTGCCTCCCCTGGGCCTCAGTTTGCCTATCTATACAATGGGCTTTATGAACCCTGAGTGGGAGGCCTCCTCAGTCTGGGAGCAGGACAGTTGGGTCCTTGTCTCCAGTGTCCCAACATGCTGGGTGATCCAGTCTCTGCCCTTTTTGGGCCTCACTTGCCCAGTATGAGCAGCATACGATGGGGGGGGGGGGGGGGGGACTCAGGTTCCACTGTGTCCCCGCCCTGTAGACTGACCGCCAGGCCGATAGGTCCAGGCCCACAGAGACGCCGGGGTCCCGCAGCCCCGGCAAGTTCCTTGCACCTTGGTCGAGAATCAGGCTGGATGGCTGAGCGCCCGGCAGGCCCCGCTGCCCATGCTGAGCCTTGGGGCCCCCATCCGTCAGGGGGGCCTGGGCCTTGCCCACCCTGCCAACGTTTTCCGGCACTCTGGGTCCTTTATGTAGAAGTGGCCGGGGCATCCTCCCTGCTCTGTGACGTATGCCCATTTCAGAGGAGGGGACAGGCTCAGAGAGGCTAAGTGGAATCTGAACCCCGACCCAGCGAAACCCCCCGCAGAGGCTAGCAGGCCGGGCGAGCCCCAGAAAGGGGCTCTCTGGGGTAGGAACCCCAAAGGGTGTTCTGAGCCTGGAGCGCGGGGTGGGGGGGCTGGTTCAGGACCTACTGCGTGACTCTGGGCGTGATGCCCCCTCTCTGGGGTGCCGGAGGGCCTGAGAACAGCTGGAAGGAGCTTTCCAGTGAGTCCCGGCTCTGTGGGGCTGGAGGCCTGGGGGCCGGGGGGCCGGCAGGCAGTGGGCATGGCGCCTGCCGTCCTCCCTGCCTGGGTATCGTCTTTCTCCCTCCTCCTCTGGACTTTGTTTCCCGGGCCCGGGTGGGGCCGGCGGGGAGGGGGTGCCCCTGCTTCCCCAGGCGGGGCCCTGTCCCCTGGCAACCCATGGGCAGGGCATCGGGATTCCGGTCTCTGTCCTGTCGAGAGCACCAGAGCCAGGCCCAGAGGCTGCGGGGGCCCAGGGGCAGCATGTGAGTCGGGACCCGGCGTGGGGGCAGGGTGGGGGTCCCGTGTGGACTGGGCTTTGTGTCTGGGACGAGCGTTCACGCGTCAGTCGGTAGCCTGTGCTCACCTGTGGGATCCGCGGGGCGCAGGGAGGGAGGTGCCTCAGTCCCCCCCCTCGCCCCGCCCCGGGCCCAGCTGGGGTGCAGGGTCTGGTGGGGGCATGTGGGGGTATGGGGGTGGCCCTGTGTGAGGGGGCTGGCTGGGAACCCGTGCGGCCGGGGCAGAGTCTGGGCGTCTCAAGGTGTTGGGGCGTGTGCCCAGCCAGGGCCCCGGGAGGACCCTCCTTGCTGTGTGACCTTGCTCTGAGCCTGAGCCCTTCCAACGGGCCTTTGCCCGAGGGCAGGAGGCCAGTGCCGAGGAAGCAGATGTGTAGCACCAGGGGCCATAAACCCAGTTTCAGTCTGGTATCGACGTGATACGGGGTGGGGCTGGGAGGGGCAATGGGGGAGGGGGGCTTCCTGGGAGAGGAGGCGGCTGCCTGGGAATGGAGGCTCCGGCCTCGGGACCCGCTGCTCTGCGGCCGGCTGTGTGGTCTCGGGTGAGCAGCCTGCCCTCTCTGGGCCTCGGTTCCGTCTGCTGTTGACTGGGGACAAGAACGGCCCCCTGGCCGCGGGCTCTTACGAGGAGCAAATGAGACGCTGCTGTGGGGCGCTGTGTGCAAGGGGCCACGGGAGACACGGGAGGCTCTGTGATCGCTACCACCCCTCATTCGTGCGGAGCCTCCGAGGCCCCGAAAAGGCTGACCCCCTGGGCTCTACCCCTTCGGGCCCCATGTGGGGGCCTCATCGGCCCGGCTTGCAGACGGGGACACTGGGGTGCCACAAGAGAGGACGCCTGCCCCGGGGTCACCCCGAGAGCAGTGGTGGGTCCAGCATTTAAAGACCATTAGCGGCCACTGTGAGAGCATGTATCTGGTGCCTACTGTATACTGGCTACATGGCAGACTTCCAGGGTGGACCCAAGTCCCGCGGACTCTACCTCCGGTCCGGGTGTGGACACTGAGGCCGGAGGTACCAGCCGGCGGGGCCCCGGGGCCTTGAGCCCAAGACCCAGCCTGAGCCCCGCCCACTGGCCTCCGTGACTCACCCAAGAGGAATGGGCCAAGGAGGAGGCAGGGCCCCCACCCAGGCCCACTGACAGCCTCTGGGCAGGTCCCCCCCCCCCCCCACCGCCTCCCCGGAGTTAATGTCCTAAGTGGCCTATAAATCCTGCCGGGTGTACGTCCCCCTGCCCACTCGGCAAACACTCCTTCATCGCCGTTCGCACACCTGCCTCCCCCCACCCTTCCCGGGGAGCTCCAGGGCGTGGGGACAGGCCCGCCCAGCCCTCAGGGTCAGCACCGGGCTGGCGCCGGAGGGGAGGCCTGGAGGCACAGCCAGGTCTGTGGCAGAAATGACCCTGACCTCCAGGTCCTGGGCACCCGGAACGAGCAGCGTTTGCAGAAAACTTGCCAGTCTTTATCACCTCCCTGCTGTATACTGCGCTCTGGCTGCAGGAGGGGGTGCTCATCTGGGCCCTCCGGGAAGAGAGGGTCCTGGGCTGAGGGCTTCCAGGGGCAGAAGACGAGACTCAAGGACGTAGCCACCCCTGTGGCTTCCGGGAGGGCATCTCCCTGGGGGCTGTGTGGTCCCGGGATTTACTACCCAGGCTTGTCCGTCTTTACCTGTTGCCTTTCTAATTATAGTCTCAGTATTGGATACATACGGACGCCTGCTTAGTACACGTTAGTTAGAACATGGTTCCCATGGTCCATTTTATGTTGCCTGACCCCACCTCTCCAGCTCAGGGCGGGGCTGCGTTTTCCTCTTTAGAACGGCAGCCTTCACGAGCAAGGTGGCCCCAACGCGGCAGGTTCTGATAGAACTGGGAGATGGGAAAAGGACAAGGGCTGCTTGAAGACCTGGGAACGGCCAGTTCCTTTCCTCAGCCGTAAAAAGGTGAAGCCTAAACTGGGTGCTGGGCCAAGCAGCGGGAGATGCCCGGACAACAGGCTCCAAGAGCGGGGGCAATCGGGGCGGGGGGGGGCTCCCTGGAGGAGGTGTCTTGTGGGCTGCAGCTAGGAAGGCCGTGGAGCAGCACAAATGCAGAGGAAGCTGCGGGAGGAGGAGGAAGAGGGTCAGGTTTGGGGTAGGGACCCCTGTGAAGTCTGGGTTTTGTGCTGAGGTCAGACGGAGGCCCTGGAGAGCGGGTGCGTGCCTTCATAGGAGGGGGTTCCCAGAGCTGTGCTCAGCAGAACCCCGAGGCTTGAAGAGGTGCCAGGGCCCCCTGGGGCACTGGATCAGGGTGTGGCCAGAGGCTCCGCGGCCTCACCTGGCCCCGCAGGACAAGGTCCAAGGCGTTCCCTAGCCCGTCCTGGCTTTATGGCACCGAGGCGGGGGACTGTCCGGGATGGGACCAAGTGTCCCTTTAGGCAGGTGTAGGGGAGGGAACCAGGAGACCGGAGTCTCTGCCAGCCATCCTCCCTCTCTGAGCCTTAGTTTCCCCACTTGACATCCCTTAGTGAGGGGCAGGCCCGCTGATGAAAGAAATCTTACAAGAGGAACCTCAGAATGTGTTGCACCCTGGGAGACAGGCAGGTGCGCTCGTGCACACGGGGGCCCAGGGAGGCTGCCTGGGGATGGCCTTGGGTCTGGCCACGTGAGCTGGGTGGGAGAGGGCAGTAGCAGGAGTCCCGGAGACGAACGGGCAGGGGCACCAGAACATGTCAGACGCTCACGGGGCAAGCTGTTGAGAGAGTCAGCACGGGAGTGAGCCACAGGTGCGGCTGGATCCAGGCGTTCACACGGCATTTTTTACGGACGCCTGTTGGCGTCAGTGCTGCCCTCAAGCAGGCTGTGTCCGTGAGGGCACACGTGCCGCCCCCAGCCGTTTGCTGGGCAACAAGCCCGGGGGGCGGAGGGCTCCGATCTTCCAGGGTAATCGCAAAGTCTCAGGACCAGAATTTCACGTCATTGGCAGGCTGGGTCACGCGTCCATCCCCGAAGTGACCATAGAGGCCCTTTGGCCAGGACTTTGGCCTTCGAGGGAAAGGAAACCGCACCTGTCCCCAAGAGAGCGGCCGGGGGCCGTGTCCCGGTCCCTGACGTGTTGGCCGTTGTTCCCTTCTCCTCCCCCAGTGAGCCCGGAGCACCTGCGCCCGGAGCCGTGGGCAGCTGAGTCCCCCAGGCCATGGACCGAGTGACCAGATACCCCATCTTTGGCATCCCTCACTCGCCCCGTGTGGGTGGCCTGGGCCTGGAGGAGGGCACCGGCCACACGTTCGAGCTGGTGGACGTGGGGCCTGCGGCCAGCGGCTGGGACCAGAACAAGCCACGGGCCCTGCCTGCTGACCGAGAGGCCGGGCCGAATGAGGCCGGGCCGAAGGCGTCCCGGAGTCCATGTGCCTTCCTGGACCGGCCAGCCCCGTGGAGGCTCGGCCGGGAGGGTGACGAGAAAGAGGAGGCGAAGGCCTGCCGTCGGCACCCAAGGGACGCCCAGCCCACGCGGCCACGGAGCCTGGAACGGGAGCACCAGGCACCCAGGAAGGGCAGCACGGCGCCCGCGCTCCAGGGCGGGCCTGCCCTCGGGGACCCCGGGAGCCCCGGCCAGGCTCAGTCTGGGCCCCCGGAGGAGCACGTGGTCGACAGGGAGCAGATCAACTTCCTGACGGCCAGACGGCAGTTCTTGAGTCTGGAGCAGGCCGGTGCGGCGGCCGCCCAGAACCTTCCAGCTAGGGCGGCCCCTGCGTGCGCCCCGCCTGCCGTGGGTCGGGCCTCCACGGCCTCGGGCGGGCTGCCCCCGGCCAGCGGGTGTGCCGTCCCCCCGAAGCCCCAGGGGAGGGACGCGGTCTCGGGAGGGAAGGGGGGCGCCGGCGGCCTCCCCGCCGCCCCTGGTGCCCGGGCTGTGGGCGGCCGTGGCTCCCGGTCCCGAGTGGGGTCCCCGGAGCCCCCCGGGGAGACGCCCATCGAGCGGGAGATCCGGCGGGCCCAGGAGCGGGAGGCGGACCTGCGAGAGCAGAGAGGGCTACGGCGGGCGGCCAGCCAGCAGGAGATGGTAGAGATACCCACCAGGCCACTGCTGACCGAGGTCGGCCCGGCCTCGGTCCCGCGGCGGGACAGGGGGCGCCCGTCACTCTACGTGCAGCGGGATTTGGTGCAGGAGACCCAGCGGGAGGAGGACCACCGGCGGGAGGGCCTGAAGCTGGGCGAGCCGGCCACGCCGGCCAGGGCGGCCCTGGGTCCCCAGCCGGGACTCAGGAAAGCCCTCAGCTCAGACTCCGTCCTCGGCCTGGCCCCGGAAGACGGGCCGGCCCGCCCTGCTCCCGCGGTGACGGTGACGAAGGAGGACCGCGGCGTCCCGGCCGACGCCCTCCAGCCGCGCCTGCGCCCCGGGAGCCCCCGGCTGGCGCGCCCGGCCCTCCACGCGTCCGGCAGGCCTGGGGGTCTCTCTGCGGCCGAGGCCGAGGCTGTGGGCTCTCCACAGGCCACAGGCTCTCCGTGGCATCTCTTGGAATCCTCTGGAAAACCGGCAGGCGTGAAGCTGCAGTGCCCCAAGCCCCGCGAGGGGCCCCCGCCGGCCGAGAGAGGGGTCATCCGACAGGAGCATTTCTGCCTGCGGCCCCTGCGGTTCAGGGTCCCAGACGGGCCCCTGCAGGCCGCGGCCCCCCGCGGCCCAGGCTGGGAGGGCGGGGGGACCCTGGCGTCGACGCTGCAGAGGTCTCAGTCGTCCCAGCTGCTGGAGAAGGAGGTGGAGAGCGTCCTGCAGCGCGAGCGGGAGTTGGCCGAGGAGCGGAGGCAGGCCCTCTTTCCTGAGGTCTTCTCCCCGCCGCCCAATGACGACGACGACGACGACGACGAGGAGCCCGAAGGCTCCAGGAGCTCCTCCGCGGCTTCCGGTGAGGGGTGGGGGGGTGGAGGGGTTGGGAACACCTGGGGGGCTCCGGCGGCCGGTCTCTGTACCTGAGCTGCGGATTCTGGAGGCGGACGTCAACTCTGCCTCGTCAGGGGTGCGAAGGTTTGAGGGTGTCGTGTCCCCCGCCGTCCGCTGCTGCCCAGTTCGTCCCCCCGACGGCCCGTGCTTTGCCCGTCTATCCGTCCATTCTCCCGTTTCCTCGCCGGGCAGACACTCGGAGCGTCCCGGGCTGGGGTCTGGTCGAGGGTCCCTGGGACCCTCCTGACGCCCCCCTCTCCCCGCGCAGGCGTCACGGGCGGCTACTCCGTGTCTGAGTCCCACTTCTTCACCCCCATCCACCTGTCAGGCGTGGCGGGTGCTCCCAAGCAGAAGAAAAGGAAGGAGCCGCGGGTGAGTCCGGAGCCCGTTAGGGCCACAGGAGGGCAGAGCGAGACGCGGGCAGGACCTGGGTTGAAGCCCGACGCCCTCACTGCCTGTGGGTGGCCGTGCCTCTGCCTCTTCCCCACGGGAGTGCACAGCGCGTGTCCCTTTGTCTGTCGGAGGCCCCCGAGCAGGGTCCCCACCGTGAGGGCGTCCCCCTGAGTCCGTCTGACGGACGGGCTCCGCTTCGAGGACGACAGTGACAGTCGATGAGCACCGTCATACCGTCACCACTGCGCAGCATGTGCGGGTGATGTGCACGGGGCTCTGCGGGCCACGCCTGTACCGTCTCAGAGCCACGTCCGTCTTGCCACACGCCCTTCAGAGAAAGCTCGAGTCGCCATGGCCAGCGTCAGGCGGTGCTGCTCCCACACGGGGACTCAGCCCAGACCCGACTCCGCCCCCCCGCAGTGGTCCCCCTGAGGCCGTCTCCTCCCTGGATGGGGGGAGGGGGGGGCGCTCCGGGCCACCAGGGGGAACCACGCCGCGTCTAGCCTCACCGCCTGCTCGGCGGCTCGGGGCACCGCGTGGGAGCCCAGTGACCCGGCTCAAGTCCGGTCCTGCCACTCGCTGGCCCGTCATGCTGGGCAAATCCTCTCTGACCCTCAGTCCCCTCCTCTGTAAAATGCGCGTGGTCGTGGTCGTAGGAACAGCCCCCTCTGAGCCCTGGGACGGGGCCGGGCTGCAGGAGCTCAGGAAACGTTGGCCGTCTCCCTTGTGACGAGTTTGCAGAGAGAGCCTCGAGGCTTCACGGAGGGGGCAGCGCGGGGGAGGCAGGCTGCGCACAGCTTTGAGTCTGGGGGGCCGCGGTGGCCAAGGAGCCCCCTCCCCTCCACCCCGAGTGGGGGCCCAGGGGGCCGGGCGTGGAGTCCCAGGCCCCGGGGCTCACGTGCCTCCCTTTCCCACAGTATGCCAGCCTCAGCGCCTCCGACCACATCAACTCAGAGGTGAGTGTGCCCCTGGGCCCTCCGCCGCGGCCTCAGAGCCGTCAGGGGCCTTTCTCGCGGCGGTGCGGCCCGAGCCTGCCGGAGTGGGTTCTGCCGGGAGCCACTCGGGGGGGGGGGGGGCTTGCCGTGGGTACAGACCGTGGGAGAGAGGGTCTGGGCCAGACACAGAAGGAGGCTCACGGGACAGGGCGTGAGAGCGGCCGCTTTACTGCCCTTGTGGATTCGTTTATGAACTGGGTCCAAAACGCCAGAGCTGGCAGTGAACCTGCCGTGGGTCTCAGCGTGACCTACCACGCTCCTTGACACTGTTACCAGGGGGACGGGGTCTAAATCGGAGGAGGGGATGGCCTGCTTCCCTCCTGTTCTAGATCTCTCCTACGAGCTGGCCGTGGGGGACGGCGCCCAGGGGTCGGGACCCTGACGGGGACTCCGTGCCTCTCCTGCAGGTCCTTGAGGCCACACGGGTCACCCGCCACACCAATGCCAAGGCCAGGTGCTGGGAAGCCCGTATCTACGCCAACGGGGGGAAGGGCTGAGCCGGGCGCCCCGGGCCCGCCCTGGGGGGTCTGCTGGCCCATCCCGAGCCCCACTTGCCTTAGGAAACAGGTGCCTGCTTAAACTCCCCACCCACCCCCTCCCAACCCCTCCCCCCCAGAACCACAGATCAGGGCCGACAACCCCGAGGCCGGATGCATTTCCAGCCCTGAGGGTTCTCTTTCCGGTTCTTATCTTCCTGGAGACGTTGTTGTGTTTTCTGTGTGTAATGCGGGGGATGGAACGGGAGGTCTCTCGGTTCTGCTTCTAAGACTTTGCCAAACACTCTGGGCCCCAAATGGGAGGAGACCAGCCGCCCCCCACCCCCAGGTCCAGATGTGATTGTCCCTGCTAGTCTGAGGGCCGTGGGGCTGGTCCCTGGGGGAGCCGCAGGTCTGAGGGAGGAGCACCCAGTCTGAGGGCCTCTGTGTTGTCCCCCAACCCCACCCCCGCGTGGCACACCCAGCAAATCTCTGAATTACAGCCCTGTGGGGTTAGCCACCCCCCCCCCCGCCCCCGGCAGAGAAGAGGGCTGAAGGGGACCCACGTGCTCTGTGCCCCCCCCCGCCCCCGCCGCGGCCCAGCAGTGACAGCGTCAGTGCCTGTCCAGGGGGCGAGGCCAGTGGGTCCCCCGGGTGGCCCTCCAACAGCGTCCCTGGTGTCCGGGGAGGTTGGAGGGGTCCCCGGTTGGGCCCTGTGTGCGTTCTATCCTCCCAAGGTGTGGACGCTGGACCCAAACCCTAGTTCTGCAGCCATCCTCGGGGTGGCCTCGGGGGTCCCCAGAGCTCCTGTGCCTCGGTTTCCCCTCCACGCACAGGGATGGCCGGCCTCAGCCTCCAGGCCCCTCCCGCTCCCCCTCTCCTTGGCCGCTGCACGGAAAACTGAGGCGGCCAGTTCCAGAAATCCTGCGGCCGCCCCCGCCAGCCCAGGAGGCAAAAGCCTGAAATAGCTGGGCGGGGGTGGGGCCGTGGGGGCCCGGGGCGGGCTGGGAGGGGCTCTTCAGGGTAGAGAAGAGACAGGCCGAGGGAGGAGGCAGGGCCCCAGTCCGAGGGAGGAGGCGAGGTCTGTGTCCACAGGCAGGGCCTGGGCCGGGATTCCTACAGTCTGTCCTGCGTCAGAGTGCGGGCCCCACCCACCCTTCAGGGAGGCACCTCAGGGGCTCGCCCTCTCCTGCCGGGTCAGCCACCTGGTGCCAACGGGCCTGCCACCACCCTCCCCGAGTCGGGACCTCCAGGGTGGGGGCGCTGCCCGAATGACTAGTTCGATGGCTCTGGGCTCAGAAGTCCTAACACCTGGGAATGGGCAGGGCCGGTTCCCGCGGGACCCCGGGGACCCATCTCCCCACTTTTCCAGCTTGCAGAGGCGCCGCATCCTGGGCCCGCGGCCCCTCCTCATCCTCGTAGCACAGGGTCGCCGGGCTCTCTGCCTCCCTCTCGTGAGGATGCTGGGTCCCCAGGGCACCCAGAGTCACCCCCTCCTCGGGGGCCTTGACAAAGGTCCCTTCTGCCACGTGAGGCGACAGGTCTGCAGGTCTGAGGACCAGGAATGGGGACGTCTTTGGGGACCTTATGCTGCCCACCAGACAGAGTCTCCTTGTCCCCTGTCCCGGTTAACCTTCCCTGGCCTCTGCTCAGGGCCTCCTGGGACTGTTGCACAGGCCGTGCACAAGGCCCCCAGCCGAGGTGGGGAGGGCTGGGCTCCCCTATGACCTGGGCCCTTCTGTAACCCCCCTGGCCCGGCCGCGCTTCTCTGCACACAGGTCACGTCACGGAGGGGTACATTCATGAGTCCTCTAGGTCAGAGGGCCCCCGCCCATGGTGGGACCAGCTCTCTGGTCTCAGTAGACTGTCCTTTGACCCCCATAATGCCCCCATCACCATGGCCTGTGAAGGTTCCCCCAAAACACAGAGAAAGCCACTGCAGGGAGTGATGTCCTCCCCCAACGCGGTCTGTCTGTCCCCCCACATACTTGCTCTACCCTTGAATCCTGCTCTGTCCGGTGGGTGCCACAAGGAAGGTTCAGAAACGGCTTCCCCGGCGTGGGTCTGCCTGTGGCCCCGCCGCCTGGGGGTGGGGGGGGGGGGCCACTGGGGACGTCCGTGGGGCCCCCCCCCCCACCCCCGACATCCAGACCAGGGTCTGGGCACAGCGGGAGATTCATCTGCAACCTGCCGGCTCCCTTGGGCCACGTTTGTCCCCACGGGGGCTCAGTCGGGGACAGGGGACCCTCCAGGACACAGTGTCTGCAGCCCCTGGGGCCACTCCATTCGAGAGGCGATATCGGCCCTCGATGCCGACCCTGGGACGGTGCCCACGCAGGAGACCCGCGTCCCGCTCCCGCAGCCAAGGGCCACCAGGTGGAGCAGAGACTTGAATGTTCCACGGGTGCATGATGGCCGTGTCCCCGCCCACCCCGCCCCCTGCCTGGGTGACCAGGGCCACCTGGGGGGCCCGCAATGTGGGCGGGGAAGCAGACCTTGTGTGTTCAGCCTGATCGACAAAATGGACACGAGTTCCTCAAGAAGTTAAACACACAACAGCCATGTGACCCGGAGGTTCCACGTCTGGGTCTGTCCCCAACAGAACGGGAACCAGGGACTTGAAGAGATACTGGCACCACCGTGGTCACGGAGGCACGAGTCACAACAGCGAAAGGGGAGCAGCCCAGGGTCCCTCCGTGGATGAAGGACAAACACAGTGCGTCCATCCCCACGCTGGAATGTGACCCAGCCCCAGGAAGGAAGGACGTCCTCCCACCTGCCACCGCGTGGAGGGACCCGGAGGTCACTGTGCGCGGTGACAGGAGCCGGACACAGAAGGACACGTCCCGCGTGACCCCCTCACAGGGGTCCCCGGAGGAGTCCCGTCACAGAGACAGAGTAGATGGTGGGAGCTGGGGTGGGGGAGGGGGCAGGGAGTCCTTTGCTTCATGGAGACAGTCTCAGTCTGGGGAGATGGAAAGTTCTGGAGGCGGGGGGGGGGGGGGGGCGCGGGTGCAGGACAGCGTGAGTGTGCTTGATGCCACTGAGCTGTGTGCTCGGAAAGGGTTAGAGTGATACATTTTGTGTTATGTGCATTTTGCCAAGATCTTTAAAAAGCTAAAGGAAAAGTGTTCAGTCTCTTGAAAGCACACGGAGGCCCTTGGGAACCACCCAGAGGAGCCCACAACTTGCCAGCTTAAAATAACTAGAAATACCGGACGGCGAGCCGCGTCCTCCGAGACTCTGGGTGGCGTGGGTGTGGGCGGGACGTCCTGCGTCTGTGACTCACCTGTGTTTCATTCTTCATCCACGGCCGGCCGACCCCTCCGGAGGCGGGGAGGGAATTCGGTCCCCTGCCAGGTCTCCTGAGTCTCGGTGGGACCCAAAGCGGGAGGGTCTGTCTGGGAGGCGACCTCACCGCAGGCGTCCCTGGCGGCCCCTCATTCTCTCGTGCAAGGGGACAGACGTTCTCCCACGTGTATTATGATCCCGGAAGGGGGGCCCTTAGAAAGGCTGGAATACAAACCACGTTTCCAACTAAAACGTGCTCCTCCCTCCAGCCGGCTTCTGAGCTGCCTGGGGGGAGTCGGGAGCCGCTCTTACATAATCCACTCCAGCTTGCGCGCGGTGCGGACGCGGATCCCCCAGGTTTGCTCTGCAACAACCATCCCAGCAGGTGGTGGCTCAGACTCCAGCTGCTCCCAGCGCTGGCGATTCCGTG